AACGGTTTCAGTTCGCCGAAGGRGACTCGAGATCGACCCTTGTTACGGTGGCAAACTGCACATGACTCAWTGTACCTCGTGACGTCATGAAGGACGTCGGGCCAGTGAAAACGCTGGCGGAGGCGTGCTAGTGTGCGGTTCACGCCAAGGTGTGCCGAAAGTCGTGCATCGTGGAATTCGCCGAGAAGACGAGTCCGTAAGATACGATCTTGGGGCACAACTAACAAGTCCTTTCCTCTCGTGTGAAGGAGAAGGAACCCGTCGGAGATCCGATAATGGCTAGCCGGCGGGTGATCCGATGAAAGCTCTGCGTAAAGCGTAGAGTAAGTCGGACCATCGTCATCGAGGTCGAATGCCGTGGTCACAATGGCACAAAAGTCGGGCCGTCGTGAGAGGGCGTCCGCAGCTCGATTGGCGGGACCGGGAATGTGACACGGGTCAAAATCGAACTGGTCGATGTAATACATCCATCGACCGATCGTACTAGTGACCGTGTCCTGCGTTTTGTAAAATGTCAACGGATTGTTATCCGTATTCCATTTAAAAGGCCGACGACCGAGAAGAAAGTGGCGCCACCGTTTGTTGACGGTGACGAATGCGAGTAGACAGCAGATGAGGGAAGCTATTGAGGAAATGAATAAGGAAGAAGGAGAACAGCAAACGCGGACGGAGGTTCAGGAGAAGATTGTTGGCAAGGAGAAAGGGAAACAGACTCCTGAACGTCAGGTGGATGAAGAGGGGAAGAAGGAAATAGAGGAAGAGAGGGTTGAGCAGAGAAATGGGAAGGAGGAAATAGAGGAGGGGAGGGATGAGCAGTGAAAGAGGTGCGACAAGGAGGAAATGGAGGAAACGGAAGGGAAACAACAAAGGAGGGAGATGGATGGCGATTGGTTATTTGATAAGGGGAAAGAAAAACAGACTTTTGAACAACTGGCGAATGAAGGAAGGAGGAAGGAAATGAAGGGAGGAGAGAGTGAGCACTGGGAAAGACAAATGAGGAAAAGCACGAAGAGACAGTTCTCGGGTTCTTCTCGACGACATTCAGGATCTCTTGTTCATCCTACCTTTTTAAGACGTCTTATGTCCAAATTGCGATTTCCAAGTAGATGCAGTACAGCTAAAAGGCTTGCATTTCAAACTGAACGGTTTGACAGAATTGTTGAGTGACAACTGTACAATGATCGAACAAAGAAGACGATTGGAAGGAGTCATCGACGAAGGACGCTGATCAAGAATTGACTGGTTCTTTGGATCGCCCCCGGGATCTTCGTATTAGGGGTATTGAGAATGAATTCCAGCAACAAGACGAGGAAACTCATTGTTCTTAAGACAGGAAAGTGGAAAGAGAAGGAATGGGTGAGATAAATAACGTTGTGGATGTACATGATCAAAAAAGGGATGTTCTCAGTGAATCCCAGAGGGCCTGTGAAATGACTTTCGAAACAGCAAAGGAGGGGCGATGACATGAATTTCAAGAAGTTGGAACGATAATCAAGAAGGAATGGGAAGGCCAGGATGGAGGTATATCACACGGGGAGAACAACTGGCAGGATATAGTTGATGGTTTTTCCATCGATTGTCGAATTATTTTATTATCTGATAATTCAGATAGCGAGGATCTGGACTCGCTTGGAAGTATGGCAGGTGAGGAGTCAAGCTCAGGCTTGCAGGGTTCACATGAGCATTCCTTTCATTGTGGGTACACTGATGATCTGTCAGGGAGTATGTGGGATGAAGATTTCAGTCCTTGCTTGGGAAACAATTCACCTGCGGAAGACAAAAATGGATACGGCCTTGAAACACCAAGGTCTGATGACTATTTCTCGCCGTCTTCGTCATTTATCCCAGAACGGCGTTTACCGGAAAGAAATTTCAGAAGTAGGGATATGGCGGATTATATTTCTGATTTGGATTGCCAGTCTTCTCCTCGAATGACGGATTCATGGCTACAACAGTTGTGTATGGAAATACAAAAGGGGGATATTCCATGTAATAGGCTTCATGACTGGTCGCCAGCTTCTGGAAAAGCTTTATGGGAGTTTGGCAGTTTAAATGCTTTTCAGAAAAGGAATGGTCTCCGTGAGTATCTTTCAGATCCGTTATGGAGACGAGGAGGGTGGTTGTTGGGTACTGAATCTAGGAATGGGGAATTTCTGGAGGATTACCATGAGAATTCTATAGCCAGAGGGTTTAGGGTTTAGGGTTTAAGGTTTAGGGTTTGGGTTTTTTAGGGTTTAGGGTTTAGGGTTTAGGGAGGATAATGTGAGTAGCCATGAACAAAGGGAGAAAGGAAGGGTGAAGACTTCGCAGGCCTCATAACTTCCCTCAAACAGTGATGGGGATGGAGTCAGGGGGAGTGGAGAATAGATGGAAGAGGGACAAATATGCATCTGGATTTGAAGGAGGCAGAAAACTTGGGTCCTGTGCAATGACTTGCTGATTTCTGCTGCCGAGATTGACTGCGAGGCTGTATACTGACCGTAGGGTTAGATTCGCAAATTTGTTTGGCTGAGGGCGAACCGAGAGACCTGCCTGTTTGGAAATTCGTGAGGGACAGATCTGCAATTTTGGG